CCTGCCCGCCAGGAAGCCAACCAGCCACGCCCTGCCTGTCTGCTTCTCTCCCCTCTCTCAGGCCTCCTCCCCTCTCGCTCCACTCAGCAGCCCCTGTCCAGGCCTTTGCCCTTGTCTTCAGGACTGTGGCGGTGTGTTCCCGCTGGGGCACCAGGTCCCTGGACCCGTGATTTAGCTTCCAATGTGCAGTCGCCAGGTTTGCACGCGTCTCTCTCCCGCCCGCTGTTCCTCGGGATTCCTCCACGGTGCCCACTGCCTGAAAGGAAGAGGCTGCTTCCTTGCTCTAGTTAGAGATGGGCATTATTTGCCCCCTCCTGCTTTCCGCAGGGCCGTCCCCCCCCCCAACCCCCGCTCGTGTGCCATTCCGTACCTTTTATGCTTCCCACAGTCTGGGTTTGGTCAGCCCGTGGGGTTTTGCTTGAAATTCTCCCAGCACATACTTTTCACTCAAGTCACCTCCTTCTCCTTCTCCTGCCTCTTCCTTTTCCTTTTCTTCTTCTTCAATTCTGGGGATTGAACCAGGGGTGTTCTATCACTCACCTACATCCTAAACTCTTTTAATTTTTTGAGACAGGATCTTGTTAAGTTGCTGAGGCTGGCCTCAAACTGGCAATCCTCCTGCCTCAGCCTCCCGAGTCGCTGGAATTACAAGTGTGCTCCAGCACACGGGGCCTCAACCCATCTTCCCAACTACTCCTTTTCCAGCTCCTTGAGTATTCCTCCAGCAAAGAGCTGTTTTCCAATCTCCAGAGGGCCTCTCCAGTGGGGCTAGGCAACCCCAGAGCTCTTCCATCTCCTGTGCTCTCTCACAGCAGTGTACAGACCATTTATTTGTTGGCGTTTCTTTATGCTAGGAGTGATGTGTGTTTTGCCATGTTAAAATTCTTGTGAGTCTAAGTGAAATGAGCCAATCCCAAAAAAGCAAAGGCTGACCGTTCTCTCTGATATGAGGATGTTAACCCACAATAAGGGGGGTGGGGAGAATAGAAGTTCATCGGATTAGACAAAGGGAAATGAAGGGAAGGCCGGTTGGAACAGGAAAGACAGTAGAATGAATGGGACATGACTTTCCTATGCTCATATATGAACACATGACCAGTGTAACTCCACATCATGTTCAACCAAAAGAATGGAAGTTAGACTCCATGTATGTGTGATATGTCAAAATATACTCTACTGTCATGTATATCTGAAAAGAACAAATTAAAAAAAACTTAGACACAAAAATCCTTAATAAAAATTAGCTAATTGTAAAAAACAAATGATTCTTGGGAGCCTAAATTTTAATGTATTTGTGACTATTTTTTTTAATATTTATTTTTTAATTGTAGTTGGACACAATAACTCTATTTTTATTTTTTATTTATTTTAGTTGTTGAAAGACCTTTATTTTATTTATTTATATGTGATGCTGAGAATCGAACCCATTGTTTCACATGTGAGATGTGACTATGTTTTGACAGTGAGACTACATTTTGACAGCGCTAACTCCTTTTTGACCTTTCCCTGTAACAAGCTGTGAAGGAGCCAAGCAGCTAGCTGATAGCCACCTGGACAACAGTGTACCCATATGCAAATAAGGTAGTTGCAGACCAGAACTTTTCCTTCTAAATTTGACATGTGGAAGCTGAGATATACACCTTCTAGGACTATAGACACCAGAGCCTTCAGATTGTTCTCCCAGACACATCTTGCTGTGACTCTACTTTGCAAGTATTTGCTCTGAAATGGCATTGTCTGTTGGAGGCTCTGCTCAGCAATAAGTCTTGATTCATTGTTGACAACCTGATGATATTCTGGGCCCTTGTCATTTTGGAGGGAATGGTCCCCTGGTACAGGGGTGCTCAACCACTGAACCACATCCCCAGCCGTTTTTATATTTTATTAGAGACAGGGTCTCACTGAAGTTGCTGAAGCTGGCCTTGAACTCACAATCCTCCTGCCTCAGCCCCCTGAGCTGCTGGGATTACAGGCATGCACCACCATGCCCGCCCATTTGGACAATTTCTTCCATGGATCTTACAGGGCATAAGACCTGCCTTGAAGCTGAGGCAGTTCAAAGGCCCCTTCATCCTGATGCTTGCAGTCATGCCAGAAAGATTTCAGAGGTGTTGCTCAGAATAATAGGCAAGAGTTTGTTAGAAAAGATATGGAAGGGGAATGGGGGACACTATCAAGGAAGAGAAGAGAGTGGGTCCTCTCAGAGAGGAGAGGAACAGTGTGCCTCTCCTGCCCTCTAGTTTTATGGACAGAGGGGAGGTCCAGGGAAATTTCCAGAGAGCCCTGCCTAGGTCCACCTCTTGACTTTTGACTGTCAGCAGGATGATATCAGACTTCCAAGTCCCCATTACATATGACAACTCCAGGTCGATTGGCCCAAGCTGATCAGATCTAATCAGAACCTGTTCTTATAGATTTTATGGTTAGAGGGCAATAACCCTTATGTCCCTGAGTTCTGGGATCTGATCTGTATAAGGGTCACAAAATCCCCCTCCCCTTTCAGAGTCATGTGTGTTTTTAAATTTTGTTTAGAGTTTTTAATTTTTTTTTTTAGTTATCAATGGAGCTTTATTTTTATTTATTTATATGCAGTGCTGAGAAGTGAACCCAGAGCCTCCCACATGCAACTGCTCTACCACTCAGCCCCAGCCCCAGCCCCAGCTGGCATGTGTTCTTTATGGGCATTTTGGGCCTGCATTTCTCCTGCAGAGAATAGTTTGCTGAGGAATGTGACACATCCTGTCAACTTAAGCCAGGCACGGCTTCAGGTAAATTACTATGGAAGGTTTTCGGGGCTAGGGTCTCACCCATTAAAAAAATAAATAAAAAGCATGTGAGGGTCAGAATGGTGGGCCCAGTTTATAAAACTCTTCCCGTAACCCTTCAGGTTTCCACCGTTCACATCTATCTGTTCCCTATCAGATGCTCCCTGTTTGGTTCCTGACTAGTGCTGTTCTCGCGTGATTTACTCATTTTTTAGCTATGTTTTCATATGTTCCTTTAGCTTATTTTTTTTATCCTGCTTTTCTGTATATTCCAAAAGCCACTTAATTTGGAACTGTCGTTTGTTTTATTCAGCATGTCATTTCATTAGACGTGTGTCCTTTTAAACAAAAATTTAGTTGTAGTTGGACACAATATCTTTATTTTATTTTTACGTGGTGCTGAGGATCGAACCCAGGGACTCGCACGTGCTAGGCGAGCGCTTTACCACTGAGCCCCAGTCCCAGACCATGTCTGTCCTTCTTGAGTTTCAAGTGTCACCAGTATTAGGGAACCGGACCACCCTTGTCAGTCTGCTGTGACAAATTGGCACAGCAAGCAGGGGATCTTTGTTTAAATTTTAATTATGCTAAGGGGCATTCTATACTGTGTAATCAGAAGTTATCTGAAGTCCCCTCATTTGCTGACTATTCAAGGGGGAGGCAGTCGCAGGGCACCACTGCTCCTCAGCGCCCTTTCCTTGTCTGCCTACTCCCTGCTGCAGCACTCTGTCAACCAGAGCGTGTCCTTCAGACCTCAGTCCACAGGAGTTGATGGAGTCATTCCTGGAGTGGGTATCTCACTCCTGTTCTTTTCTTCCTTGGGGACCGGGAGCATTGCCTCATTAGGGAACCGTAGCTTGGCATGAGGCAGGTGACCAGAGAAGCAATTCATGAGACTTTCTGATTAAATACTATTGGAAAAGCCAGGGATGGTGGTGCATGCCTGTAAACCAGTGGCTCGGGAACCTGAGGCAGGAGGATGGCAAATTCAAAGTCGGCCTCAGCAACTTAGTGAGGTCCTAAGCAACTTATCAAGAACCTGTCTCAAAAAATAAACAGGGCTGGGGCTGGGGCTCAGCGGTAGCACACTTGCCTGGCATGTGTGAGGCACTGGGTTTGATTCTCAGCACCGCATATAAATAAATAAAATAAAGGTCTATCAACAACTAAAAAACTTTTGAAAATAAAATAAATATAAATAAATTAAAAGGGCTGGGGATTTGGCTCAGTGGTTATATGCCCCTGGGTTCAATCCCTGGTATAAATAAATACTACTGAAAAAAAGGTTTTCAGGGTTAGGGCCTCACCCATGCTGGGCAGGTGCTCTACCACTGAGCTACACCCCTGGCCTTACTATTGGAAATTTTAACAGAAGCCATCAAAGACAGGCCAAGATGTGTACCTTTGTGACTGCTACTGAGGCCCTCCTACCTTATTTCTTTGGTTAAGTTATAGGTGGCATTCATATTTGTGCTTCCTATTGCTGCTAAATCTTCATTTTCTCCCTCCTACCTTTTTTTAAATTAATTAAGCCTGCTTCAATTATGGAAATGTGTTCAGAATGGCCCATCCAGATTTTTTGTTTTGTTTGGTACTGGGTATTGAACCCAGGGACACTTAACCACTGAGCCACATCCCCAGTCCTTTTTTGTATTTTATTTAGAGACATGGCCTCACTGAGTTGTTAAGTCTGGCTTTGAACTCATGATCCTCCTGCCTCAGCCTCCCAAGTTGCTGGGATTACAGGTGTGCACTACTGTGCCCTGCCCCCTCCCCCAGAGGACACTTAGAGGACTCTGGGTAAACAACTACAAAAAAAATTTTTTTTAAAGGACATTCCAGAAGTACAGTTAATAACTCATCCTAGAGAAATGACACTGATACTTAAAAGATTATCTCCCTATATCTATACAGAGGAGTACCTCCTCCACCTTGCCCTTTATTACACTGGTGTGTGAGTTCCTTGAAAGCAGCAACAGGGCCGGTCTGCTCCTGGCACGGTGCCTGGCACAGGGATGCACCCATACATGTGGTTGAGTTGAACTCTGCATGGACCAAGCGAATGTAGGCGGTGGGGATGAGGAAGCCTGGTTGTGGTCTCACTAAAGCTGGGTGTCCAGTTCCTCTCACCTCTGAAATGCAAATCTGGGGCGACCAGCCTTTGCATAAACAGCAGGAAAAAGAGCAGTCTAAAGACTGCCAAGGCCTGGGGCTGGTATTCATCTTGCCAAGGGCTCTCTGGGTCCAGCCCAGACCAGGGCTGACGCCAGGGGTACTGCAGGCTTCTCCTTCCAGGTAGGTGCTTCCCAGCTCCTTTCTATGGAGTTAAAAGTAGCAGATGCCCCGCACAGAGATTTAGAGGGCGATCAACATCTGGAGCACAAGGAGGCAGGCTCGGGGATTAGATCACCCTACCTGGGACAAGGAGGAGGCAGGACTAGGGAGGTGGAGCTGGGAGAAAAGGGAGCAACACTTGGGAGGAGAGAGCGTAGGGGGGCCGGTGAAGGAGGGGTTGGCCGGAGAGGGCCAGGCCCCAGGGAAACCGGGAGTCCATCAGGACCGGGAGGCCTCTAGCGGCTACCGCAGGAGACGGGCGAGCGGCCGGGAGCGGCGGGAGGGCACTTCCTGCCGGGGCCGCGGTCACCCAGGCTCCGCGAAGGAAGTGCCCTGGCAAGGGCGGGGACGGGAAGCGGGGCGGTGGCTCGGGAGGGAGGGGGCGGCGGCCAGCGGGAGCTCTGGCGCCGACCACACCCGGTTTTCTCCACCGGCCGGAGGCCCTAGACTGCGGACCCCCCGACCGGCCAGCACAGCAGCGGAAGGCCAGCGACCCCGCGAGCCCGCCCACGTCAGCCCGGCCGCGGAGCAGCGCCTGCTCAGACCCCGCCCGGGACGCCCCGCCCACCGCAGGCAGGCCCCGCCCCGCCCCGCCCCGCGCATTCCACAGGCAGCCCCTGCAGGAGTGGTTTAGTTTTGCTGTGTAGCCGAGTCTCTAGTCATTAGTGTCCGGGAACTTAATCAAGTCTGCAAGACCTGTCTCCATTTTGCAACTTAAGTGACCGAGGCTTCGGTAAGGTAGCCCTGCCTCGATGTAGATCCAACCCAAATCCCGATCCACCCTGGAAGCCCTGAGAGCCAGAGCCGCTTCCTCCGCCGCACCACTCCTAGCCACTTGCTGAGGCAGGGTCACACTGCAGTCTCAGTGTGACTATTATCTGACCACTCATGCCCACTTCAAACTCCCCCAAAAACCACAGAAGCAGAATAGGGGGGTCTGGCTTTCTCTTTAGTTCTTGTTACACGGTGAGGCTCTGGGTCACCAAGAAGGCACTAAATGCGAAGGTCACCCTTTTCAGGTCAACCATATCCTCCCTCCCCCCATCAACTCCCTTGGCACTGGTTTGTGGGTCCACTTGACCGTTTGACCCCGGGGAAAGCCCAAGGCCTTGACCTCCTGACTCAGCAAGTGTGGGGAAGAGTTTCAGAAACAAGTTAAAGTTGGAAGGCGGACATTCTGGGAGCTTCCCCCAGCCAGCAGGGGGCAAGGGAGGAGGCTGCAGTGGGTGGGTTGGCACAGGGGACAGGGACAGCTTGGCCTAGCTTCCTGGAGACCCCCCAAACCTCACAAGAAGTTTCCATCTCCTGCAGATACCCCAAAGGCACTGGTGAAGTCTGGGGTGGGTGGAGAAGGCACCAATTAGGGGTGGAGACCCCCCACTTAGCTGGTGGCCTAGCATAGTGCTGGGCACACAAGGTGCTCAATAAGTGTATTTTGAACGAACGGAGCAAAAGGGCTGTGAAGGACAGGGAGCAGGGCCTGGGGCCCCTTGGCCCAGCTTGTTCCATTCAGAAAATAGCAGTTTAAAAAATGTAAAAATCCTTTCCCTCCCTCCCCCCCAATTTCTGGGCCCAGGAAAGGGGCAAGGGAGGGTGTCTCTATGCCCACCCTTCCCTCTCTCCATCCCTTAAAAATCTATATACACATATACATATTTATATGGCACCACAAGGGGGTCCTGCCTATGTCCCCATATTCAGAAATGGGGAGCCAAGCTCCAGGGCCTTGGGGTAATTAAGGCAGAAGGAAGGGGTCACAGCTTGGGTGACATAAGGAGCAGCCATCAACCTTGGAGAATCTGGACTGTGGGGTCCTGAAGGAAAGACCCTTGCTCCCTTCACAAGGGGTAAGAGGTTCTTCCCTCCAGGCCCTCCCCTGCCTAGACAGGAACTGGTGGGGCCTCTGTCAGTTCCAAGGGAGGCGTGGGGGTGAGAAGAGACTGGTTCCCCGGACCAGCCTAGACCTCAGCAACCTGCAGGCCAGTCCAGGCAGGAGCTATGATGGTAGCCACGCCCCCGGGAAAGCTGAGTGGGCAAGATGAGGCTCTATGAAAGGCACTTGGTGTCCACTGTTCCCAGGCTGGGGCTCCAAGGTATGGGATGACAGAAATCCTGCCCCCACCCCAAAAGCAGAACTGGGGCTAAGGAGCCCAATTTGGCAGCAGAGAAACATGGCAGCATGAAGAGAGGGGACAGAAAAGGGGAGCAGCAGGCAGGGCCCCCAGGTCTCCTGAAAAGTGGGGAGGAGGTTCGAAGGCACTGACACAGGGAACCAGGGGTGTACAGTCCTCGGTACAGCCTGGCAGGGCTGCTGGGGAAGACACCTGCTTCCCCAGGGCCACCGATGGGCACAGCTTGCGGGTTTTCTTAAGAGCTCTCGGGCAGGTGCCCAGAGTCTCCGTGGGAGGAGGTGTGGGCTTCAGTCAGGGGCAGGTCCAGGCCCCGTGGCACCTCACTAGCTCCCGGGCCTCGGCTGCCTGAGCACTGAGTACACATCATCCACGCGGCTGAGTTGCTCAAAGAAGGGGAGGAGGTCATGGAGTTCGGTGTCACTCATGTTGTCAAACCACGAGGCCACTGGTACCTGGGGACATGTGAAGACAGGCACAGGTAACCAGGTGCAGGAAACAGGAATGGGAACATCCCCCTCCCACCAGTCCTGGAGACTACCAGGCTTGGGACTGGGCAGGCCAAGGCAGAGTGAATGGGCTCCTGCCCTTGGGTCTCAGCCCTGTACTCACAGCATTGTCTGGATGGAAGACGTAGGAGGCAGGCGAGTTGTCCAGGATGAGCACCCGCCGAAGGTCTCGGCCCAGCCGGCTCAGGTCCTTCACGTAGTTCCCCCGGTGGAAGACGCAGGACTCTCGAAACAGCCGGGCTCGGAAGGCCCCCCATTTGTCCAGCAGATCAGCTACTGGGTCTGCATACTGGAGGGTAGGAGGTAGGTTATCCTAGGGCCAGGAGTGGCCTGGGGCTGTGTCTAGCGACACGGGGCCACCTGAGGCAGTAGATGGGAGGGCATGGTGGCTCCAGGTCCCTGGTGGGAGCTCACCTTGGCAAGGCTGGCAGTGAACAGCACGCACTCGAAGAGCTCGCCCATTCGCTGCAGGAACTCGTCCACATGGGGCCTCTTCAGCACATAGACCTAGGGGGTGGGTCTGTGAGGGCGGCTGGCCGAGCTGGGGGAGGTTAGCCTTGGGCTGGGAGGGCATTGTGGAGGAGGCAGAGTAGCCCAGGAGGGCTGGCCCTGGGCCTGTGGGTTCCCACAGCCAGCTGCTCCACCCACCCAGCCTCCCAGAGGAGGACGGACACAAGCTTTGGCTCCCACCAGCTGCAGGTCCTGCCTTGTGGGGAGTCATTAATCCTAAGTCCCTTCCCCCAAATTCAGGAGCCTAGGGGTAGCCAGCCCCCTCACCCCAAGGCTGCAGCGCACCGGCCCCCAAGCCAAGTAATGGAGAACAGGCTGGACAGCACACAACCTATCCTGAATTACTTGAACTGGGTCCCGGGCAGGGGTGGGCAAGGGGGCACACATACAGGACTGAGAAGAGGAACCCACTCTCAGGAGGCCTGGAGTTGGGCCCAGTCCCTGAGGTTCTATGTGATCTTGGACAAGTCTCCTACCCACTCTGGGCCTCAGACATTCCACATCTATCAAAGTCCCATGTGGGGCTCTCTCCAGTTCAGTGGGCAGCGCTTGGGGTCTGGAGGGAGATGCCAAGCCCATCACCTCCTCCCCTGCCCCTCACCTGGTGGACCACCCCATCAATCTCCACTGGGATGATGAAGTCAGCGTTGTTCACTGGCTGTGGGGGAAAAGAGCTGCTGGAGCTGGGGCGGGGAACCCCAGGGCTGGGGGCCCAGCCGAGCCCTCCCTCCCCGGCCAGGGATGAGGGCTGCTGGGCAGGGCCCACCTTGAAGGAGCTGTGCACCAAGGTCTCGTCCAGGTCGATGACCACGCAGATCTTGTCCGAGTCCTGGGCCTTGGCCTCAGGGAGCAGGTACTGAACTGGGGTCTGCTGGTGGGAGGGGCCGGGCTGGGTGGGGGCACCTCCTACACAGCCTTCCCTACCCTGGCCCTCTACCTGAGAAACAGGAGACAGTGGGACATCCCACCCGCTTCCCAACATGGGCCCCGGCAGCTCCCGGGAGGAATGGTTGCTGACTCTCTAAGCCCCTTGGCAAAGCTTCCATCTTCCAGCGGATCTTCTCTTGGTGGGCAGCAGGCAGAGCAAGCTGGGAGGGGCCCAGTGGGGGGCGTATAGGGCTTGGTGTCCAGGTCCCCCCTTCTTTGAAACTTTCAGTGACTGCAGGTGTGTCTCCACCAGGCACCCACCCCTTCCCTTAAGCCCCCTTCCAGCTGAGCCCAAATGCCCTGTAGTCATCCCAACCCCCGCACCTTAGGGATGGCGCCATTCTCCTCCACGAGCAGGGGTGCCCCGCTATGGGCAGGCAGGGCCTCCCCATCATCCCGGCAGACACAGCAGAAGAGTGAGTGGAGGATGCCCCGGCTCCGGGGCTTCTGGGAAGCTGCTGACTTCTGGTCACCTGAAGCAGGGAGGCACAGGTTGGGGATGTGGGCACGGAGTGCTGTGTATGTGTCCAGGTGTGAACCCCGGCTCCGGGAGGATCTGGCCACACCCCCTTCATCAAGGGAGACACTGTTGTGCTCTAGTCCTCCTGAAACACACCCCAGCCTTTGCTCCAAATCCTCTGAGGCTCCCCATGAGGAGGTCTAGGGTGGACAGTCACCCAGGTTAGGGAGGGCGACCTAAAGGAGGGGGAGGGGAGGTTTTCTTTTTCTCAAAACCTCCATCACCTGACTAGGCCTTACCTGAGCATCCCCTGCTTAGGAGGGCCAGGGCCTGGGGCCCCGTTGTCCACTCCCATCCTCCCTCTGTCCAGTCCACTCCATGGGTCCAAAGTCCTCATTGAGGCTGGGCCCAGGGGCAGGGGGTGCAGTCCCAAGGCCTGGGCAAGCATCCCACAGCCATCTGTCAACCCCGCCTCCTCGGCCCCTGCCCCGCCCAGACCTGAGACCTGCAGCGCGGCTGGTTGATTGACAGACCCACCCTCCACCGCCCCTCCGTCTGACCCCCGCCCCAGGCCAAGCTAGGCCCAGGCAGGGGGTGGGCAGATCTGGGAGGACCCCCAGCCCCTGCACAAGGAAGAGGAAGAGGGATTCCCAACCTGGCCAGCCCCCCGGGCGCAGCCTCAGCGAGCAGCGCGGCTTTCCCTGCCGGTGCAAGTGTGCACAGGCCCGGTGCCCACGGGCCTAAAGCCCGGGTGTCGCGTGCCTGGCCGGGCACAAGGCTGTGCCTGCGGGCGCCCTCTCCTTGGAAGAAGTGGCCCCTTTCTGTGCCTGAGGGGCTCAGCGCCTCCATGCTTGACGCGGAAGTTTTGTGGGAACGTGGCTGTGTTGGCGGGAGATCCCTCCAAGCTTCCCCAGCCCGCTGTCACCTCGGCGCCCCTTCCCAAAACCCTAGGAGACCACAGCCCAGAGGGGGCGGAGTCTCAGCGGGTGGCCTGGAGGCGGCCTCCTAACCCCCCCTCCCAGCCCCATTGGCGCCAATGGGGGGGGGGCGCCCGGGAACCGCCAGCCCGGAAGCCCCCGCAGGAACCCCTGCCTCAGTTTCCCCACCTCGGACAGACTAGAGCTCCCTAGAGGCGCCAGGTCCCACCCCGCGTCCCCGCGACTCCAGGAGTTCAAACTCTCCCTGCTCCCTCTCGGCTCGGAGCTCCGGCCCGGCCAAAGCGGGAGCCCGGGGCGGTGGCAGCGGATGCAGCTCCGGGAAAGATCCCGGCCCCTTCCTCC